CTCGCGCGGCCGGGGCGGCGGCGGGCGTGGGCAGGCGCGCGTGGAAGCCGGCGGCGGCGGCGCTGGCGGCGCAGTACGGGGAGGCGGGCGGCAGCCTCATAGAGATGTCGCAGCAGCACTCGCTGAAGCCGTCAGAGCTCATCGACCTGCTGCTCGAGGCGGCGCGCGGGGGGGCGCCCTTGGACTGGCCGAAGCTCGCGTTTGAGGCTGAGCGCTTCGCCTCGGATGATGGGTCGGTCCCGGCGTCCGAGGTCGCGGCCGCCGTCGACGCGTGGCTGGCGGCGAACCCGGGTGCGCCGCCCAACCGCGACGGCACGCCGCGGCGGAAGCTGATAAGGGAGGGGCTGCTCGCGCACCCGCAGCTGGGGCCGCGGCTGCGGGCGGCCGAGGAGGCCGAGGGGGGCGGGGGGCTGAGTGGGACGTACGCGCTGATCTCGCTCGCGCTGGGGGCGCGTGCTGCGGGGGTCCGCCTGCATTGAGTTGGGGGGTTCGGCTGCTGACTACGCACCACCTGTGAGTTTGGGGTTCGGTTGGTGACACGTGTGCACCATGTTTGGGGCCTGAGATATCGCGTTTGTTGGTTGTGCCTTGGGGGCGAAGGCGGCTGAAAGTTGAGTGCATGTGTCGGGTGTGTGGTGACAGCGCCACAGTTGCTGCAGACGCCCAGTTGCTTCAGTTGAGCTGTGTGCATTGCAACCAGTCTGCAACACTCTTTCAGTTGTGTCACAATGCAAGACTCTCATGCAAGCACGGATAATGAAGTAGCGGGCAGAGTGTCAGTGAGGGCAGGGGCAGCGGGGTGAGCTGGCTGGTGCAGGGGCCCGGCAAGCTTGCGCTGCACGACGTGTCATCCAGCTGCCAAAGAACAACCACTTTGTGGAATAGAGTTGTTGGATGCAGTCGTCACAAACCTCTTGGATGTCCAATCACAGCAGATATGCAGAGTGTCAGCATGTTTTGCTGAACACGGTAATGAAACATCGCAGGCATAGGACAACCACCTTTTGAAGCTGCTGCACGAAAGGTCCTGTGCCAACTGCCAGTGTGAGGATGCGCTGTTGAATGTGTATGGTGGAACGGGTCGATCGCATTTTGGGATTGGCCGGCTGCAGATATCACCAGAAGGACAGGTCATGCATTTAAGGAGCAGACTGCGGCCGCGGGTGTTGCCGGCTGCCTGCACATGCCGCTCTGCTGCACGGCCCCCGGCCCAGCCGGCTCAAACGGTGGGGCTTGCGCAGGGGGCAGCAGCACCCGTGGCGCAGCTCTTGCGTCGCCGGCGCCGGCGCGCTTGGCGATGCCGGGCGGCCCCCCTCGTGTGTGGTAGTGACGCCCTTCTCCGTGTTGTTGGCGCCATCCGTCCTTGCCTGACTAGGCGGCCAGCTGCAACGCTAAGAGACGTCTTTTTAGAATGACGTACCCTCACAGCAAAAGTTGCGGTCTTACAAAGGTGTGACAGCAGCTACGGTGCAGGCGCGCTCGGCTGCGCCGGCGCTGTTCGCGCCTCGGCGGGTGCCCCGCGGCGGGCTGCGCTGGGTGCCGCCCGCCTGTTGCAGGGGCGGGTGCATGGGAAGGCACATGGGCGCAAGCAAGGCGACACCGGCCGGCGCCGGCGGGTGACCTGGGGGAGCAATCGATCAATATACAATTGGTTGCTACTCTCCTGTCAGCCATCAAGACACAACACAATCCTGGGGCCCACGCGTAAGCAAATGCTGATCATGTGAACCCTTGCTCATCAACCTGAGGGCAAGAAAGCAAAGTCAATGCTGGCGACGGCGGGGGCAGCGGCTCGTGGCGTGAACCCCGGTTCTGCAAATGGCGCCGAGCCGCAGGCGCGAAAGCTAGCGACGGGCGCCGGGGGAGGCGGACAGGGCAACCGGGGCGAAGGCGCACGGCAGGGCTGCGCGCTCGACAAGGCGGTCGCGGCCATGATGCTTGCTTCAGCCGACGCAGACCGACAGAAGCGCGCCCGCCGCAAACCACGCGCGACACGTGACGATCGCGTTTGCGGCCTGATGCAGCCAGCCCCCCATATGCATACTACGTCACAATGAATTGTGGAGCTGCCAAAGGCGCCGTTGCGCGCGCCCAAATCGTCGAAGGCGGCAGTGTGGGTGAGGCAACCGCCCGCTCGCAGAGGCCTCCCCGTCCCAAAGGCCCGCGCCTTGGGGTGCCAGGTGCTGATTGTGTGGTGCCGGGATGGGTGCGCGCCCGATAGAGCCAGGGGGGGGGTGTATGGCGGCGTCGATGCGCGAGGTGTGCTACAACGCGCCACCTTTCGACGTGTGTGCTGGGTGTCGTGTGCGCTTCGAAAACATGGGGAGTAAAGGCCGCAAGCCCAGGCGATGGCGCGGCTGAAGGTGCCGCCGGGGGCGGCAAGGCGCACCGACGCGGTCGGCGGTGGCTGCGCGGGTGGCCATGACAGAGGGCGGAGCCCCTCGACGCCCTGGCAAGAGCACTCAGCAGTGCGCGAGGATTCAAGACGGGCGGCGTGGTGTGTGGTGCTGCTGATGACAAGGCCCCAACATTCATTGAGCAGGCGGTCATGTGCCTGCTGGGCTAGACCCGCGATGCCGGCGCTGCTTGGAGCCGCCTGGTATGGTGCGAGGCTGCTCGTCGCCAGCGCCGGCCCCGGGGAGACATTCACGGCGCATGGGCCCCCCGCCGCACTTCGCTCCTGCAGGATCAGCGTGCCGCTGCAAGATATTTCGAGCCGGGCCCCACGCCGGCGTGCTGCACACCCCCACCCCGCTGGCCGGACCCACGCCGGTCCTGCCTGACGCATCAACGCCCTGAACTCCGCCACGGCCCGCAGCATGGGCTGCTGGATATGGCGCTCAAACGGGCTGCGCCGCCCCTACCGCCCCCAAGCCGCCGCCCCTGCGCCGCCGCGGGCCGCCCTGCCAGGGCTGTTTTCCGCGCCAGCTGGGCGCGCGCCAATGGGTTTTCAGGCCAACATCTGTGCTGATGAGTCGCCCTAATTAGTCGTGGTCCTGATTAGTCGTCCGTCTGTTTAGTCGTCGTTCTCCTCCAGGAAGCGCACCACATGGGGCCAGACCTCCTCCCTGGCGTACCGCCCCACGATGACATCAAAGTGCCTTTTGGGGGGGGGTTGTATGG